ACAGAATTTTATTATTGACTTCCCTTAAAGAACCTTGAGTTTTGGTTTGAAATACTTTCACAGTACTTGTGTAACTCTTAACTCCATTCCATACAGAGGAAATATAAGATTGTCAGGACATAGTATTTTATACTGTGTCCCTTATCTTATACAATGTATAAGATACTATGTCCTAACAATAAGGCACCTTCAAGTTCTAAACTGACATGATGTGTTTCTTGAACATGTTTTAAGAAACTTCAAAATAGGTTAAGAAATAGTAGTAAGAAGTTGAGAATTTAGAAAGTGATATCAGATAAAAGGATGTCTTGGAAAACAGAGAATGCTCTTCTGAACCCTTGAAATACTCCTTCACTATGTTCTCTGAAACTAAGGAAATTAGTTCTGTGGAGCAAGGAAGTTGAGGGGTTTGACAGTGTCATTTAACAAATGAACACAAGTGTTTTTTCTTAATTCCATGAGAAGTAAGTGGTACAAGTGAAACTTTAGCTTTCACTTTAAGCAAATTAAAAAATAGGTGAATGAAAATCAGTTTTCAGGCTCTGGGCAAAGAGATACTAACAGCATCTTTGCTGATCATGCAAGTAAAATAAAATAAAGATTATGTGTCAGAGGTCTACAAATCCCTAGGTTTTTCTGGGATCCAGATCTAGAGAAAGGAATTAGTACCTTAGAAAAAATTTAACTTCTGCAAGTGATTTTAATTATTCTTTCATACTTAGAACCCAAATGTGGTCAGTGTTTGAAGTGAGGAATGAGTGTAGGGTTTATGAGCAGAATCCCAGAATCAAAGTTTAGAGAGAGTGACTGATCTGGAGATGTGAATGGTATAGACTCATTTGACCTTGGGAACTGAAATAATCTTCCTTTGTTTCAGAAAATGAATATTTGATATTCATCAAGTCATTACTAGCTCAGGATCCCAAACTGATACATTAGGCTTTGTTTTAGGACAGAATTTTCTAGGAAAACAAGTTGAGATATCTTGAAGGATAAACATAGGAAAAAAGTAGGGAAGAAAGAGAAGTCAGAGGGAATCTCCTATGCAAAATGATCCTACAAAAAAACAGGAGACATGAAAACAGGGAATGTATATCCATATATAAGTATATAAATACTAAACAGCAAGGGGAAAGGTAATAAAACAAAACAAGACCTTTAAACACAACTACTATTGCCAATATATCTAACATATTAAAATTAACCAAGAGTAGTAATTTCAACAAACATAATATACAAACTGTATGGTGGACAAAATAATGACCCTCCAGAAGATCTCCTCATTCTAAACCAGAACCTGAGATTATGTTGAATTCTATGGCAAAATGGAATCAGTCCTTAAAAAAAAAGGACATTATTCTGGTTAGTCTGGATGGGTCAAATGCACTCAGAGAGCTTTTAGAGGTAGAAAAAAGAGTCAGAATAGGGCAGTGAGAGGAAATATAACTATGGCAGAAAGGCAGAAGTAACATTATTGGCTTGGAAGAGGAAGGAAAGGAGCTCTTAGTGGCTAGAAAAAGCTAGGAAACAAATTTTCTTCCCAAAAGACATTCAGCCTTCTCAATCCCATGCTTTTACCCAGTGGAATCTATCCTGCACTTCTGAATATATCTGTGTTGTTTTAAACCGTGAAGCTTTTTTATAGTAGCTATAGGATAATAATATATCCCAGGACCCAAAAAAGGGTATTTGTATGTTTTAAGTAAGTATGAAATATTTATGGACATTTTAATTCATTACTGAGAAAATTGAAAAACTACATTAATGAAGGGGATATGTCTTTTAAAAAATACTTATAATGTGATATACAGGATTATAATCAGATCAAATATTTCCATATTAATATAGAGATTCAATACATACATTAGGCAAATTAAGGCCCTGAGTGTGTGTGTGTTTGCAAGTTGAGAAACTGCTAGCAAAACATTCATGGGAATGCAAGGCGGTGAGAATGACTCAGAAAATTTTAAAGAAAAAAATGGGAAGATGTCCTCTCCTATCTCAAGTACAGAGAAAAATTTAATTAAATTTGTGTAGTATTGGTGTTCACTTATACAAATAGACTCATTAAAAAACAGTGAAAGTACAGAAGCATTCTCAGTCTTTTGAGAATTCTACCTCAACTGATTGTGTCTGATTGGTCTTTGTTTGAATTTCCAAGGGATGCAAAATCCACAGGCCTCTAAAACCCTCAGACTGCATTTTATCCCAGGAGAAAAGAGTTAATACAGCGACTTCAATTCCATGTGTGGGAGTAGAAAATGGAGGGGCCCATATAAGCTGAGTTATCTCCTGGAAATACGGGAAAATGCATAAATATTCCTTTTGCCTCTTACTAGAATATTTCTCAGCCTAAAATTTAACTGAGTTTTCACTAATCTTGTAAACTTAGAGACAGAGAGAGCCTGGTGAGTTGAACACTGGTCCACTCACTGGTCAGTTAGTGAGGAAAAAAACTCTAAACTGCCTCTGTGATTTTATCGAATAATAGAGCCTCTGTTTGTTCAAGGTACAAATTGGGGCTGTTCCCTGGAAGATATAACTATGGGTAAGAGGAGTCCTAACACTGATGGGTCTATCATAAGAAGATGACACTGGTGGTGACTCAATTTCACATGAAACCAGCTAATGTGACTAGTGGTACAGCAGAAATTTCAGGAGCAAAATGCTCTGTGGGTAGAGAAAATAAGGGCAGAATGGGCTTTGACTGAAGCCACAGACCTTGGTTAGGATATTTTCTTTGGGTACCCTTTACAGTGTTAATGATTAATGATTTATTTTTCTCCTCCTAAAATGTATTCTCTGTAACTCAGTGTGAATGTGCTTCCTATTAGGAGACAGTGAATCTATGCTCCAAGAGGTTGAAACGCAATTCAGCCTAAACTGTAGAGACATTTTTGGTGTTTCTTAGTCTCTTGGTTTTCAAACTATAGGAGGTCATGTAACCAGCATTTTAAGGGGGACAAGACTATGTTGCTCTATGTTATTCAGATAAGAACAGTATCTGTTGGAGTTCAGTCTCTATGAGATCTAGGGACTTGACCTAGAGCAGACTTTCAGAGAACTGCCTTTGGGCAGGGAGAACCAGTTGCCTTCTCTTTGTTAGATGTAACATGTCAATTTAGACTAATTATGGGCTCTGCTGATGGCAAAGCTATGAGATGGAAGCTCACTACGTAAGCTCCCTGTGACTCAGGACTTGACAAAGACATCACCAAGTCCTATATAGCTCTATCCACTCTACTTTCCTTATCCACAAGGCTATACATCCCTGCTAAACACAATCATATAGAGCTGTTGTGACTTGCTCACAAAATTCACTGCCTGTCATAAAAAACATTTTAAAAGACCTTATAAATTTGTTGAGGAAGGTAAGACCCCAACATGGCTCAAGTTCTATGGGGCCTCTCCAATGCTGGGCTCCCTAGTGTCAATTTCCTGATTCCCTTTCCTTCCCTTTTCAAAGTACTCCATAAAATAGATGGTACAGGATGAAATATCAGAGGGTGTTTTCAATGCCAGAGCCGCCTTGATTGGCAGCCTCTATTTAGTACAAAGCCAGAGATTCCCATATCCTGAGTCCAAGCATTGAAAACACTGGGATACAACTTTTTGTGTGTGTGTGTGCAGTTTTCACCTGGGGCTGGATTTGAACTCACTGCCACCGGCACAGGGGGCTGGTGCCCTATCCTTTTCAGCCACAGGCACCGCCCCAGGTACAACTTCTTAATTATTCTTTCTTTCACATCTAGGATATAAGAATGTGCTCTGTGTGCCTTTGCTGATAGCACCAGGTATTTTTGGAGGCATTATCAGACTCACCAGTAGAGTCATCTTTCCTTCTAACATGAGGGAACAGAGATGCTAAGAGGTTTAGGATGTTGCCTCTGAAGTCATAAATTACTCTGAACATGCTGTTCCCTGCTTGAGTGAGGCTAATGATGCTTAACTTGACTCTGTGTGCTTCTTTGTCCCGTCCTGCGGGACACGGTTATTCGTGGGGCGAGGGGGACCCAGCCTGTAAAAGAATAGGCGAGAAAGAAGGAAGCGAGACCAAGCAGATTTCTTGTCAAGGTCCCATTTAATGGAGGTAACAGGTCAGTTTTTATAGCATTCAGAGAAGACAAGAGGTGGGGGGCAGAGGAATGCAGGAGGTAGAGCTTGCATCAATCTCCTGCTGGGAATGTAAACGATGTGTCTGAAACATTTTATGGCTTCTCTGGGAAGAACAGCTCCTTGTCTGATAAGGGAAAAGCAGCTCCTTATCTGATAAAAGTTAGCACACTCTTGGGGGTGGGGATGGGCGGCCATCTGGTGTCATTTGGCTCCTGACACTTCTTGATAGATACTTTCATATCCACATCCAATTAAGTATACATTCTAATTTGTCTATATTTTAATCTTTGTGGAACTAAACTCCTAAACCACCCACAGCACTTTTCCTTCTTCTTCTGTCATTATTTTTTCTCCTGCTTTCTTTAGTTATTTTATTAGACCCAATGTCTAAAACATATTTGCTCTAGAAAAGTTAATTTTTCCTCTTTCTTCACAGTTCATTTTTATCTTATTTTTTTTCATTAATTTTAGTATTGACTCTTTCTTTTCTGCCTTCTCCTTTCTCTCACACTTGTTTGCTTTTCCCTCTTTTGCACTTGGGTTTATCCTAAGTAACCTGAATTAAGAAAGAAACACAGGTAATTATGTTTAATCATAAACAATTACTGGCTTACTATCATAACCCTCTTGCATGGTTTATTAATACATATATAAAGATATGAAGTAGGGCCAAGGGAAAGAGAAGAGGTGACAGCCAGTTGGTCATCCATATGACCACTTCCTAGGGACAAGGAGTGCTTCTATTGTGGGAGCTCTGAATGTGACAGTTGATTTCTCCAATGATTTGTTCAGTACCAGAGTAAATTGTTAGCCTTCACAGCCTATTCTGGCAGTTGGTTTGCTTTCAGGTCTTGCAGACCAGACAATTCCAGACTGAAGGGAACATGTACAATTTGAGCTGCTACAACCCCAGCTCCTTTACTCTTGTTGGAATACCTGGCCTAGAGAAGTTCCACATGTTGACGGGGATTCCCTTTTTTGTCATCTATGCTGTGGCTACTATGGGCAATAGCATCCTCCTCTATCTCATTGCAGCTGAGCACAGCCTCCACGAGCCCTTGTTTTTCTTCCTCTCTTTGCTAACCATCAGCAACCTCATCTTGTCCACTGCCACAGTGCCCAAACTACTCAGTAACTTCTGTCTTGGCTCCCAAGAAATAACCTTCTTTGGTTGTCTCACTCAGATGTTCTTTCTGAACTTCAGCTTTGTAGTGGACTCTGCCATCCTGCTGACCATGGTGTTTGATTGCTATATGGCCATCTGCTTTCCCCTGGGATATTCCACCATTCTCACTCCACAGATGGTCATCAAGTTTGCAGTGAGCATCATTGTGAAGAGCTCTTCTGTCATTCTGCTGGCCATTTTTCTTCTCCAATGATACCCTATAGCAGGACACATGTCAGCCCACACACATACTGTGAGCATATAGGTGTCTCATGTCTGTCCTCTGTTGACATCTCTGTCAACATCTGGTATGGATTTTGTGTACCTGTCATGACTGCCATCTCAGATGTGATCTTCATTGCCGTTTCCTATGCCTTCATCCTCCATGCTGTCTTTCAGCTTTCGTCCCAGGGTGCCCGCCAAAAGGCCCTCAGTACTTGCGGCTCCCATGTGTGTGTTATCCTCATGTTTTACACACCTGCCTTCTTCTCCATCCTTGCTCATCGCTTTGGGCACAGTGTCCCGAGAAATGTGCTCATCCTATTTGCTAACCTCTATGTGTCCATCCCTTCCACTCTAAATCTTGTAGTTTATGGAGTGAAGACAAAGCAGATCAGGGACAAATTTATTCTCCTCTTTTTTTTTGTAGAAGTCACAATGAGTAAACACTGAAGGACATATTTAGGTAAAATTGACCCATAACATTGGAAGCTACACATAACATAGGAAAATATGAAAATAAAGCTGCAACTGCTGTTAATTTTCGCATTCTAACCAGGTAGAAAGTATTGGCAGGAGAGAGAGGGCATTGATAGAATTTTTTTTATCTTGCTGTCAAAGATTTGAAGAATACCCTCATGGACTACAAAGATTAATAATAGTGAAATAGTGAATAGTGAAAGTTGTGCTGGAACTTTAAGCAGTGGGTTCTTAGGTGGTCAAAGAGTTGAAAGACATGGGCAATGCCTGTGGCTCAAAGGAGGAGGGTGCTGGTCCCATATGCTGGAGGTGGCATTTTCAAAAAACATCTGTACAGCCCAGGACACAACCACCAAAGCAAATACCCACCCAATGGGAAATAATGTTTTCATATTTTGAATCAGAAAAAATCTTAATAACTAGGATCTATAGAGAACTCAAATTAATCCACATGAAAAAATCCAACAATCCCATACATCAGTGGGGAAGAGAGATGAACAGAACCTTCTCTAAAGAAGACAGACGAATGGCTAGCAAACATATGAGAAAATGCTCATCATCCTTAATTATTAGAGAAATGCAAACTAAAACCACTTTGAGATATCATCTAACCCCAGGATGAATGGCCCATATCACAAAAATCTCAAAACTACAGATGCTTGTGTGGATGTGGAGAGAAGGGAACACTTGTACACTGCTGGTGGGACTGCAAACTAATACAAACTTTTTGGAAGGAAGTTTGGAGAAACCTCAAAGAACTCAACTTAGACATCCTGTTTGATCCTGCAATCCCATTACTGGGCATATCGGGGGGGGGGAACAAAACTTTTATTATAAAGACATTTGTACTCGACTGTTTATTGCAGCTCAATTTACAATCACTAAAATGTGGAAACAGCCTAAATGCCCCTCAACCCAGTAATGGATTGGCAAGATGTGGTATATGTCTACCATGGAATACTATTCAGGCATTAAACAGTTTGGAGATTTTGCAGCATTTGTATTAACCTGGATAGAGGTGGAACACATTATTCTTAGTGAAGCATCAAGGGAATGAAGAAACATGAATTCTATGTATTTAACTTTGGTATGAGGACAATTAATGGCAATTAATGGTATGGTGGGGGTTGGGGAGGGGAGAGCAGACAGAGAGAGAAGGGAGGGATGAGGGAAAGGAAAAAAAAAGAAAAGAAAATCGTGACTAATTCTCACATAAATTGGATTTAATTTTAACCAAAGTGAATTATTTGAATAATTGTTTTAAATTCGACTTGTTAATATGTTGTTTAGGATATTGCATCCTCATTTATAAGTGAAATATGTTTGTAATTTTCCTTTATAATAATATATTTTTTCCAATTGTAGTATCATGTATATCCAGATGAAGCATAATGATGTTGAAGTATTTCTTCTTTTTCTATTGTCTATAGGATTTGGGATGATCTGGGTTTTTTTTTTTTTTTATTGAATGGTAACTATGTACATTAATGCACTTCTGGGGTACAGTATGGGGCTTTCACACACAATCTGAAACACTTCCATCAAACTGGTTAACATAGCCTTCATGTCATTTTCTTAGTTATTATTTTAAAATGTTCACAGTCTACTCTTAGATTCACTTGTACCCTTGTAAGATAAACCTCAGAAGTGATTGCTCTAATCCCCCTCCCTCTACCCATTCCCCTCGGATGATCTGTTTTTTGAAATTATCTTTTATTTTTATTTATAAAAATAAATATTCTCTATTTTTTGAGACTTTAGAGGAAAAAAAGTTAACTGATGACTCCATACTGAACCCCAGAGTCAAAGCATTCTGTGCTAGATACACTTTATCTGACAATGTGAATGTTACTTTTCTTGCATTATTATTATTATTGCTCAATATTTCATTGCAGTAATCATCTGATTTCTTTTCTGATTGTATTCATCTTCTTTCATTCTTTGTGAGGTTTTTGTTTTTAGACTTATGTTAAACATTGTTATTGTTATTAAATGTTAAGCCTCTTTAATATGGCGAAGGCAAAAAGTGGAAACCAAATAAACACGTGCACATGTATAGAGAAAATAAATAAATAAATAAAATGTATTCACTTCACATAATAAAATATTGTTAAATTTACATCTTAGCCTCCACATCTGCATGAGGCAGTTCCTTGAAGTTGCTCATCTGGGTGCTCGTTCTTTCTCTCTCTCTGTGTCCCATTTAGATAGAAACATAGTTTCCCTGGAGAACTTCTGATCAATATAAGTTCTAGGAATGTACATGGAGAGTCTCAGTGCCTAAGCTCATTAAGGAGAAAAACAATGCCCCATTTCTCACCCCAGGAAGACATGAGTCACCTAAACTGGGAGGGTACATAGCCTTAAGGAGGCATGACAGAGAGGAATGTGAACTGTGGGTGCTGAAATTGAACACAAACTTGCCATTGGACAATATGGAGAGAGAAAGAGTCAGAATGAACTGTCAAGAATGGTCCTTGGGAAAAATAGGTCATTGAGATACCATACTAATGGGTGCAGATGCTGTGTCTATTCTGATGAAGCTCATAGGACCCCAGATCTACAAACTTCTGATCTCTCTTTGGTAATGGCTGTAGTAGTCATGCCTACTGCTTGTCCATGGATAACCTTAGAAGCTAAAATCTGCTTATGTCCTGAGATTCTGCTGAGCTCAGTCTAACATCCCACTGTGAACACACATCTGCATAATTAATGTCTCAGAAAGTCCTAACACCCCAGAAAAGGCAGGGTTATAAGGGAAAATGTATAGGTTTGATTTCCTCCATTTCCAGATGTGAGTGCCAAGGTAGGGGTGTATATACACATACACAGATACTGCAAATATCGACATTGGAATCCCTTTCTCACCAAAGTTCATTCCAAAGATAGAGATCTTTTTTTTTTTTTTTTTGAGACAGAGCCTCAAGCTATCCCCCTGGGTAGAGTGCTGTGGCATTACAGCTCACAGCAACCTCCAACTCCTGGGCTCAAGCGAGTCTCCTGCCTCCACCTCCCAAGTAGCTGGGACCACAGGCACCCGCTACAACACCTGGCTATTTTTTGGTTGCAGGCATCATTGTTGTTTGGCGGGTCCGGGCTGGGGATTCGAACCCGCCACCTTAGGTGTATGTGGCTGGCGCCTTAGCCAGTTGATCTATAGGTGCCGAGCCAAAGATAGAGATCTTGAAATTTCTGGGGCTAAGTAAGGTTAAGTACAGGACCTCATTGAAAAATTTTCTAGCTCAGAACCTAACTGGGGAGAGATGTATATAAAAATGCCAAAAGCATGAGAATCCCACCAAATTCAGTGTAAACATCCACTGCCAACAATAATTCCTCTCACTGAACAAAGATAATGATGCTTTTATCTTCATTGCTAACAGCTTTCATACTTACTGAAATAAACAAAATACTGACCTATATATACCACTGTTGAGAAATATCACGATTATACTTCTGACTCTACTTGTATCACTGGGTATAATATTAAATACATTTCTAAAGGTAGGATAACAGAGGTAAATTTTACCAGTGTGTTGGGTGATGTTCTTTCTCGCGGGGAGAGAAGGATGGCTTGGCCGCCGGTGCAAGCTCGCTCCTAGAATTGTTTAAAAGCAAGAAACGACTACACACTCTTAGGTGGCATGTAGCAAAATGTCTTTATTTTCTACTCCCTTTTATTGGGGGCTAGTAACGTACACCACATTGATCAATAATCCTAATATCCTCATTTCTTTTCTTAAACTATAGAAAAGAAAGAAAGTCCGGAAATGTGAGATAGCCATTATAAGATTAGCCTAAAGAAAGAAAGTCCGGGAAAGTAAGACAGACATCTTAAGCTAGCCTCAGGCTATTCCTTGTGGAAGATCTAAAAGGACAATACATTATCTGATTTCTATTGGATAGAAGGATAAACAGAGGAGTAAAACCTTTCTCTTCTATGTACTCAATTAAATTTCTGAGAAACTGGCTTCATGACTATTTTTTTATGGTTTTGGAGACCCTGCAGTTACAATGGAGTATTTTACTCAACATCATTACGATGGCGTTTTTCTTTTTACTCACATCAACCTTTGAGTCATGTCCTCTGCACAGATGGGCCGTTTCAACCCTTATCTGACAGGCTGACTTGACTGCACAGTCGGGATTACCTGTAGGAGGTTTTTACCCCTGGTCTGCAGGCCCCCACCGTGTTTTCCCAGGTTGCTTAGGGTTTTGACAAAAGCACATAATACTCACAAGTCTTTTTGCTCAGTTCTGGAATTAAAAGAGCACATTTCATTTAATTTTTGTGGGGGTTTACCCCACACCAGTGAAATTTAATTACTCTGAAATAGTAAAAAAAAAATGATTAAGGTTAGGCAGTCATGAAGTCAATAGCACAAAGAATTTTTTCATTCATTAACATTTTAAAATTTTCTAAAATGAAAAAATCTATAATTCTTTGATTAGGTTATTCTATTTCTTAAATCAAAGTAGGATAATAATTTTTAAAATAAACTGTAACATATTATTAGAAATTATTTATTTCAGTCACAGTGAGAGGAAATGAAGAATTAATAGACACCACACTGGATTACAGCTTATGTGCTAAAAATGATAGAAGTTCTTAAAAATATTGTTTATTATTTTGTTTATTTTGTATACTACTACATCACATAAATTTCTTTATTATTATTGTATTATATTTACAAGTGAACTGAATCCCATAGAATTTAGTTTACTTGACAAGGGCTAATATATAGCAACACCAGAATTAAAATTAAAACCTAAATTGTGTGTGTGTTTATACCAAAGGCAAAACTGGAATAGTCTTGATAGTGGTGTCTCACATCTAAAAAATGAGAATTTAGCAAATCAACCCTGGTTCCCCTGAAAGCACAACTTGCTTCATGAGTCACTAACATAGCTTATTGTGTTTAGCATTAGTAGAACAAATATATATTAAGTTGAGACACATAAATGCTTTTTAC